ACACACACACACACACACACACACACACACACACACACACACACACACACATACACACACAAATATTTATCATGAAATCAAGTAATATCATAATAAATGTTTATTCTAACTTAGATCATAAAATGCGACGTAAACGCATATCATTTTTCATGCGTTACATTTGAAAGAGAGAAAAGAATGTATCGAAGCGAACGCATTCTTGCACATTTTTTCTCCACACATACGCACACACATCAATCGGATTGAAATAAGTCGCCATTTACGTTTCTTTCGTAATCCAATATGTATGTGCAAACATGAGGACATGACAATTTTGTGTGTGTACTTATCGTGAAGTAAGTTATATGTTACTTTTTAGATGATACGTGTATAATATGAGAATTGGCTAATAACAAGTCGCAATCACACATATCCGAGCTTCATTCTTTGATTATCATGAAATTACCAACGGGAGATGAAATTCGTTACAAAGAAACATTATGAAACTCGTGCAAACGGCATTGCCCCAAATTACTGAATTGTTCAAAATGATTGGATATATGTATACAACCCTCAATTTTATTAATTTGGGAACACAAAACACTACTTTCAACAATTCATACTTTACCAATAACATATCTTTCTTAATTTACAATATAGATGAAATATCTTAAAAGTAACAAGAGTATAAACAAATTTTCTCGATTCTCTCGTTCACCAAATAGAAACGTGTAAATATAGAAGAGCATTGGACAATTATAACTGAAAGCATGCACATTTCCGCGCCAAATATGATTCACGTTATAACTGTTTCTACGGAAATACATTATTTCTAAAACATATTTTTTCAATTCTAAATAAAACTCAACTCAATTTACATCCGTATAGCGTTTCAAATCAGAGCGCTAGTTTTTCTTGAAAACCTTAACTGTTACTTTTATTAGTATTGAATGTTTCGGAACGCCTAAATCTCGTTTTCTACCCAGTTGCTCCTGCTTTTACTTATCATAGGTATGTTTATTGTTTATGAGATGTGTATTATAAAAAAATATGAATCGTCTTGTTTCTTCTATCAGAGGTAGATACGCAGGAAACAGAAGCGATATTCTTACATTCTTTTCTTTTTTTCGTTTTCTTTTTTCTTTTTTTTTTTTCTTTGTGTACTCGGCTAACACATGTGCCTGTCCTTTTTCCTCCAAATCATCTCTCTCGCGGTTAAAAGCAATTTTTATCTATACTCGTGCGGGGGTCCAAGTAAGTGTGTCGTTTGAGATTAGATATTACAAAGTGTACAACACAATCACATCGTTCTGGCACGTTACAGAGGGCACTCAAGAGTAAAAGATAATCGTAATTAGCGATTCCCGCAAGAGAGAAACAAATTTCGGATTAAACATGAATCCATATATATGTTTTATAAAATAGTTATCTGGTGCAATAATCCAACAATTTCTACCTACGGCGCGCACTTAAGGTGCCAAGTAATTTTAATTATATACTTACATAATACATATACATTACATCTCTACAATATAATAAAATAATTAGCTGACCTACACAAAGACACAAGAGCCTGTAACAGTAGGAAGTTTTACAATTTTTTTCTTTTCCCTTTTAGCTGACGATGGACATTGTCCCTTTCTTATTGCAAAAGAATTTGTATCCTACATTTGATTAAGTCCAAACAAGACCAACTCGGCTTTATCGCGCACATGTGTGTGTGTACACACACACGCACACACACAACGCGCGCGCACGCGCGTACGCACACGCACGCATACATACATACATACATACACACACGCACGCACGCACGAACACACACACACACACACACACACACACACGTGTGTGTGTTTCACGTGCGAATATATACAATTAGAGAATCAAAAGGTAGACTAATAAAAGACAGATGAAAAAGAAAAGCGGAACGTTTATGAAAAGTTGCATTGTGTGCATCTGTGTATACAATAATTATGTACATTAATTCAATAATACAGGGTAGCGACGTAAATAATGAAGTTAAAATATTAATTGAAGCGTTTACAAAAAGGAAACAAAAAGGAAATAATGCGCGAGTCCGCGCGCTTTTCTTTTTCTCTTTGATAGAAAATGCGCCGTAAGCTAACGGAACGTTGAACCTAACCTAACGTCTCTTGGATTTTTATTTCGTCGTTTTGCTAAATTGCTTTATTGCATCTCGCATTACTTGTTCCGTTGCTATCAAGCGCAATCGGAAAAACGCTTCTTTTCGATCGTACAGAAGTCTTCCACTTACACACGAAACGTTACCTTCGATATCAACGAGAGATCGTGCGCTGAAATCGCCTTCAGCATTTGTGTCCCTAGTTTCGGCGTCATTATTCCTAATTTCGGCGCTCGAAAGATGTTGAATCGTTGACGAACGACCATGTGTCTCTCGCGTTTCTCAGCCAATAAAATGGGACAAACGCTCAACGGCACAAATTTGCACAAAACAGCAGAACAGCGACCGGGATAATCTCCGTACGAAAGAACGCTCTCGATGCCCGCCAAGTTTCGCGCTAGTGTACGTCGCCAGCTTGACGTCAGTCAGTACTGCCGCTGCTATTTCCGAAATATTCGCCGGCGTCACCGCGACATATCGGACACGTTCGATTAGACTGCAAAACAGTAGGAGTATTACAAACATATTGATGTTCGTTGTTTCAGAGGTTTAAGTGTCATCCTGGATCTTTACCTTGAGCCACTTGTCGATGCATTTGGAGTGAAATTCGTGAGAGCATGGTAGAACACGTAGCGATTGAAGGGCCTCGAAGTCGCACATACATACGACACAATTTGTCTGATCGCCCTGATGCGTTTCTGCATTGAACTTGTAAGAGGGCAACTGTTCAACCTCCGCGCGAGTCAGTCCCCGTGGTTTGGCCTCGCCCAGTCTTTCGGCCAAGGACAACAGTGCCTCGTAGTTCTCCGTCGCCGAGTCGGGCGAGGATAGTTCGGCTTGACTGTATGGTGACAGTGGTGGATTGCTAAACATTGCACTGCGAAACAAATTTTATCATTCAACTCAACTATTTTGCATTATACAGCACTTTTCTGTGCTTCTTTTCATCACTTTCGAGTCACAAAAAAGTTATTACGTACAGGAAGTGCAGTAAATATCCTGGATACGTCATAGGCGGTAATGGAGTCGTGCCTCTCCATCTGCTGTATCTCGGCCGTCGTAGCGTATGTACATTGGACGCTACTCGTCGAGTCCTGCTTTGAATGATCTCTAATTGACTGTTTCGTGTCTCCGACAGGAATAAAGGCGGCGGCGTCGTAACCTGCGTGATGGTTGGCGGGGAGTACGAATGTGGTAATGGCAATGGTGCACCAGCAGCGGCACCCACTCTATGATGATGGTGGGAATCCATTAATTCTAGCTCAACCTCTCTCTGGAATCAAAGACAAGAGGGAAAATAATATAAAAATTATGTTGCTAACTTCAGAATAAAGCGCTGATAAAAAGTGTCAAAGGCTTCCAAAAAGATAAAGACACCGCGAGATATATCTCTTTGTGCGTATTATATAGACCATAGAGTACGCAAGCTGAGCATTCTACAGAAGACTGCGATAACTTTGCCACAGAAAAGGTTACCCTGTTAGTGCAGGCATTCGATCTTTGTTTAGTTTGGTCCCTATCGAACATTTCGTCTAATTTTCTCCAAAAGCTAGATAAACATGGAACGCCTATGGAAGCAGAATATAGCTGGCTGTCTTTGAAATCTTGCTTCGAAGTTTATGTATATTATTGTACCTGCTGAGACAGTTGATGATGCGCGGTGTAGTCGGTAGTATGGACGGGCGGTGCAGGTGCGTGCGTGTGATGCAGCGCTGCTACGGGACCACCGGTTGGTGTTGGATATCCTCTAGAAGCAGCGCCGAGTAAAGAGCTAACCACACCTGGATGACCCGGATGTGTCGGATGAGCAGCGGAATAATGACTGTGGTGATGCGTGACCTGAACAAAACAATATTCCTGTTAAGACATAATATAACGTAGTTATATGTAGTTATAAAAATGGACGAGTAAATTTTTGGAATACTAGGCGAGATATAATTGTGAAATATAAGTGTATCTTGTCCCTTACTCTTCAGGATCAGAAAAATTTTTCTTTTTTTAAGTAACAAAGACACACAAGTTTCTCCCTTTTTCTCTCTTTCGACGCACAGTACATTCGTGGACAGAAAGATCCGGTAGAAGAATACTCACATTGAACAAAAAGATGAGTTGAAAAATTCATCCTAAAAATTACGGACAATCTTTCTCTCTACAAGTGTCTTTCTGTACACATGTAAAAAATGAATGAATATAACGAATATACATCAAGAGGAATCATGTTCGGCTTGTGATAAATGATAGAATAATAGAAGCCGTCATATGCCGTCGTACTTAATCGATGATATTAATTCCAGAACTGAGAGAGATACATTCACCGAGTATAATAAAAGAAAAGAGACAAGACGCAACGATTCACATAATAGTAACTAGTTTCATTGATTCGCAATAAGGATTTATAGTTAAGGTCACCTGACACGAATGCCCGAACGGATGCGTCCCGTGAGGCGTATAGATGCTGTGAAGTTGACACGGAATTCTGTATCCAGTCGCTGGCGGATGCCACAGAGGTTCCCCGCTAACGGCGACTCCCAAACCAGACACTCCAACTTGGCCCACGTCAACGACCACAGGAGCGTTCGCACCTTGCGCATGATGGTGTCCCGTACCGGGTGGATGATGGGGATGCGTCTGATGCGCGCTATGGATATTGTGGTGCGAATTGTGCAGGCTATGGTGAGAGCTATGAATGTTGTGATGAGAACTGTGCAGACCATGATGAGAGTTATGGATCGTCTGATGGGGATTATGGCCTGGTAGGAACGGATAGGAAAGCCCGAACGAGTCCGTGTATCGTTGATAACGGTTCCTGATTGTCGGACTGCCGCGGGTTGACATGTGATTGCGGGGTGAACGCCGTTGAGGCGCGCCCGAATATTCCCAAGGCGACGGAGTTGTATGCAGAGGTGGCGTCGGAGCAGGCGGCGTTGTTTCCCGGACTTCTATCCCAGACACAGCGCCATTACGGGATATCCGACGACGCTTTCTGGATGGCGATTCGCTCTGAAAACATTTCCAACTTGATTACTCGCCGCGCGGCAAGGATATTGATTGTCGCGACGATTGAAAGAACCTCACTCTACGGTAAAACGTACGATATTCCGATATTTCGAGAAAAGTTGGCACAAAATTCTCACCAAAGAAGAGTTATTTGAAAAAAAGTCAACAGTCAGAGAACAAACAATTTAGAGAAGGAGCTCTATTATTAGAAATACCACCAAATACAATTATTTATTATAGTATATCTAATCGCGAACAAAGAAATTCGATTGGAAAATTATTATTGTCAACATCGCATTACTCTTTCGTTTTATCTAACAGCGCGTGTATCATTGATATCATCAGTTTCCCATTAGAAAAGCTACCTTCTTTTCCTTTCTAATGTAAATTGCTCGAAAGCGAAGATAAATCAGCATTTGTCGTTTATACAGCGCTTTCGCGGTATAATCAATGTAGCAAAATAATCACTTACTTTTCTACCATCGTCCTGACTAGGCTGTCTGTAATATGGTGGCGACGGTTGAATTTGCACGGGACTCAGAGGTAGCTGATTTGTGGCTGAAAAAAAATTTGTAATATTTTTTAATAATGAGTCTATAATACACGCGAAATAATCCATCTCTTAAAATGCTATGAGACAACCCTTGGTTTTGAGATATCGCGAGTAGATATAAAAACAAAAAAAAAGAGAGCAAAAAAGTAAAGAAACCACGTATAAATTCAAAACGTCGTATTTCAAATGAAGTAAACGGGCTGTCATACCTTGAGAATTTCTACGGTATTCTATGTCTACTCCACTAGCTCCAAGGCCGGGACTCATGTTTAATATTGGGCCACGCATCGTGTTTTCCTGAAAATTATAAGGAACCGATTAAGCAATGTTTTGCCGAGTGAACCAGGAGACAAGAGAAAAAAAGAAAGGTAAAAGAGACACGCTCGTTCACCTGTCCGCAGATATTGATGTGCAACGGCGGAGAATTGGCCTGCGGGCCTACTACCGGCTCCTGAGGGAAGTGCGGCGGCGGCGGCGGGCCCCTCGTCTGCGGGCTGCCGTGCTGGGGCGGCTTATATCCCACGCTGGATCCACCCACGTTTCCGTGATAGGAAACTTCCTTGCCGGCCGGCCCGGAGGATGTACCAACCCCGGGGCAATCTCTGTATAGATAGAGAAATATGAGCGAGCCGTAGTATGTACGTATACACGTACACGTGTATACACACAGGGTGGTCCGTTGTCGGCGCGATACTTCCATCAATAACGATGTGGGGCAACCCCTTTCCCGGTAGTAGCCAACAGCGCGCCAACAGAACGCCAACAATGCACCACCCTGTATGCGTGCGCAAGCGAGCGCGGAAAATATGTAATAAATTTGAGCGATATACGCCGAGTGCATTCTCAAAGTGATAACTCGGTTAAGCGCTGATACAAGTTCCGCACTCGTAATAGAAATGAGTCACGTATGCGGCCAGCGGGAGTGGCGAGAATCTTCAATTTTCCAACACTGGTCCATCAATCTTATCACCCACTCGTTCTTTACCGCCCGAGATCGCATGTATATGATCGTGTATATATATTCCGCGATATATTTAATTATTCTTTCTTTTCCTCTGCATTGTGATGCGCTCCAAGTACACCAAGCAAAGGTTGCGTCTCTCTCTCTCTCTCTCTCTCTCTCTCTCTCTCTCTCTCTCTGTATATGTATTTGCTTGACCTACAAGCATCAACAAATAAATTGACCGTAATAGTTAACGATTGAACAAACTGGACCGCAGAGAGTTTATTTATTTTCGTTAGCCGAGAATTTATTTATCGTTGCACAATCGAAACGTAAAACCGGTTATCTCGTGAGTGACACCATGAAAAATATATATCAATGGAACTGCAACATGTTACATAATATACGATGCGAGTGCGCTCGTAAAATCGTCACACTACGCTTATGTACCACGCAGCTGCTAGTACGTAATGTAACGTTCCTATAATGCTCTTTAAACACTTTTACCCGCATACTTCTCTTTTAGGAAAAGTATTTCTCACGAACAATTGAGTCTGTATTTGGAAACATACAATAGAATTATAACGATAATTATGTCCGTTACGTCATACTCAATACAAACTATTACTGTTCCAAAATAAAAATTATATACAGGCTTATCGCGAAAAGACTATACCACGAGATTTGCGCAATGTTGAACATAATTTCAATTTTGCTTTTTAAGACAAAAAGAATAAAATAAAATAAATTATCATACGTTTTCTCTCTCTCAACATAATTTTTTCCTTAAATCCCAAATTACTCTTCACTTCTCTAATCAATTTTGTCAAATTACACTATAACATTATAATTTGTAACCGAAAGTATCGTTCCTTTTTTTAGGTAGATTAGATTATATAAGAAAAAAAAGAAAATGGCTAATAATAGTTAGATATTAAGAACGATATAAAACATGTGTTTTGCCTCTGTAACAATATGAGTTTCAATTTATTTAAAGAGAGATTTTTCACAGGAGTAAATCTTAAAGATTAACGCATCACATTAACGTTTGTAGCAATATGAAACTCGAGAAAAGGAATCTGAATGTCTTTGGATACACGAAACGGAAGAATGTACATGTACATACACACACACCGAAACTGACGAGTATGCGCAAGTATATCAAACGAGACCCAGAGCTCGAAATTAGTTGCCCATTTCGGCCAATTCTCAGGAGCTACATCTTCTATCTTCCCTATGCCGCGAGCGGGTCACAAAAGTGACGGTCGAGCCTCCAAACTTGAAGCCGCGACTGGCCGCGACCGTTATTTTCGTGGCCCGCTTGCGACAAAGGGAAGATAGAAGGCGTAGCTCCTGAGAATCGGTCGAAATGGGCAACTAATTCCGAGATAACCACTTGAACGCACAAACCTGGTACGAAAAAGAAAAAAATAAGAAGAGTAAAACGCTTTCAAACGCATATTGTATAAACCGTTGTAAAATTCTATAGAATTGTGTCTTTTGAACAATGCATTTATGAGATGGTGTTAATTTCGTATATGTACAATGTATACTGTTAGGTTGTTGCAAATGAAATAGTCATTTATGGAATTTGAATTTAAGTTTTTATCGTATAAACTTAAAACATAATTAATCAAAATCAAAATTTTCTATCCACTGCAATATATTTTTTCCAACACGATACAAGCGCATTAATGCCTTTCAGAGAAACTCTCGAAGAATGAAAGGTAATGAATTCATCGAATACCCTTTTTATGTCGACTTTATTTTTGAAAACTTTTTTCCTACAAAAATCCGTCGAGTTTGTTTGTTTGTTGAGAGTGTTTAAATAAGTAGTAGTCTGTTGGTGAAAGATCAAGAGAGTAAGGAGAGTGAGAGAGAACTTGACAGCAGAGAAAAGTTGACCTCTAAACGCCGAATTATATATATATATATATATATATATATATATATATATATATATATATATATTTATATCTATCTATTTATATTTATATTATATATATATATATATATATATATATATATATATATATATATATATATATATATA